TATAAAAAATTGAACTCTTCCGAAGCTTAACCGTTTGGAGTGGACCAAATAGTCATGATCAACCTCCCACTCAATGCTCAATCCTCGATTGAATCTGTAGTGGATGAAAATGATTGTGATGGGTGCTGTGCTGCGAGGCAGTGCAATGCATGATTGTAATGTATCCGAGAATACGTCCGGAGGTGCCAAAGTTGTGTCATTTTCGCCTCATAGGACGGCGTAGAAACGTTTTAATTTCCGTAGTTATTACCTGCAATCACTTCGGCACGGTATCAACCGTCGTGGTCATTTTCGAGTCGCTAAATAGATCTGCCATGACAAAACCGTATATACGTCTCTCATTATAAACATTTTTGCCGGCTTGTTCTATTTTGTACACGATTTAACTTCACATGAGGGAATTAGGGTTGTTAAACTTGTTAAATTCTAATATAAATTCTAATGAGACAGTGAGTTAAATTCTAATGAGACAGTGAGTTAAATTCTGATGAAACAATGAGTTAAATTCAAATAAGACAGTGAGTTGAATTCTAATGAGACAGTGAGTTAAATTCTAATGAGACAATGAGTTAAATTCTAATGAGACAATAAATTAAATTTTAATGCGACAGTGAGCAAAATTCTAATGATACAGGGAGTTAAATTCTAATGAGACAATGAGTTGAATTCTAATGAGACAATAAATTAAATTTTAATGCGACAGTGAGCAAAATTCTAATGAGACAGGGAGTTAAATTCTAATGAGACAGTGAATTAAATTCTAATGAGACAGTGAGTTAAATATAATGCGACAGTGAGTGAAGTTTTAATGAGACAGTGAGTTAAATTCCAATGAGACAATGATTCAAATTCTAATGTGACAACGAGTTAAATTCTAATGAGACAGGGAGTAAAATTCTAATGAGACAGTGAGTGAAGTTTTAATGAGGCAGTGAGTTAAATTCTAATGCGACAGCGAGTTAAATTCCAATGAGACAGTGAGTCAAATTCTAATATGACAACGAGTTAAATTCTAATGCAGGTGCGACAGTTCACATTTATAATATTTCCTCGCAAAAAAGTCGTTCCTCATTTTCCATTTGGCACGCTCAAATTTCAGCTGCAAAGCCCATCGAATGAAATTGAAAGAATAAACTGAATGGATTTTATTAACGAGCTCATAAATTAGAGGGTTTTTTCAATGATAATTTCTTCCAGGTTATTAACGTAATAGACCAATGAGCTGCAGATCAATTAAAAAACCTACTAATGATATCCGATTTTCCAGATCTGCGCTAACACTCTAGCCCAATTTGTTCTGCACATCTTTGTCATCATGGATTTTTGGCATTGGCTATCGATAACTGCCTTTCATTCACTATATAAGATAAATTATTTTCTTTATGAAGTAAATGCAACTTAAGTAAATGAGACACAGAAATAAATATTCAAAGAGAAAGAAAATTTTATTTGTTATTTTAGATGAAACATAAGTAAGGCTCCAACATCACATCTGTTGAAGACGAAAGCCGAGGTAACTCATGAGCTTTATTCAACAAGAATGCGACATCCTGGAACAAAATAACACTATTATAAAACAGAAAAAACTGTAACGTCATGGGAATATATTCATATGTGAAGGTCTTACACATAAAGACACTATTTACAGAATACTTACAAGGAGAACAGTAGTTGTAGGTCTTGAACGTACAAGAGACGAGTAAATGCTAACAATGGTCATTAGTTCTACAGCGAAATAACTTACTCGTAGGAGCTATAGTATGGAATACTAGGTACATGTGGGCGCTATAACAGAAATTTCACGACAACAAAAATCGTTCCTCATTTTTCATGTGGCTTGTGCGTCGCGCTTAAATTTCAGCTGCAAAGATTATCTTAATTAAGATAATCTAATCTTAATCTTAATTTATCCTCATTATAATCATTTATAATGATTATAATGATTATATAATATAATATTATATAATCATATTATCCTCATTATAATCATTTGATAATTGAGAATTTTAAATAATATAATTGTTGTATGCCATGATTATTGTGCCATGTTGTGCCATACTTTGTTGTGTGTCATGATTATTTTTGCCATGCCATGACATACAACAAAAATCATGGCATACAACAATAATCATGGTATACAACAATATTATATAAATATACAACATATTAATGAACAAGCTGGCATATTGCTTCAATTTACTTCCTAACGCGAGTTTTTTTTCCACTGGAACGTGTTTGAAGAGATTAATCATGGTCATATAACTATTATTGGTCTGAGCATACAACTCATAATAATGGCAGACAAAAATATTAATGGCATACAATAATAATCGTGGAACACAAAAATAAGAAAGGCATACAGCAATAATCATGGCAAACAACATTAATCATCACACACAACAATAATCATGGCACACAACAATAATCATGACACACAACAATAATCATGGCACACAACAATAATCATGGTACACAACAATAATCATGACACACAACAATAATCATGGCATACAACAATAATCATGGTACACAACAATAATCATGGTACACAACAATAATCATGACATATAACAATAATCATGACATACAACAATAATCATGGCACACAACAATAATCATGGCACACAATAATAATCATGGCATACAACAATAATCATGACATACAACAATAATCATGGCACACAACAATAATCATGGCACACAATCATAATCATGGCATACAACAATAATCATGACATACAACAATAATCATGACATACAACAATAATCATGGCACACAACAATAATCATGGCACACAACACTAATCATGGCACACAACAATAATCATGGCACACAACAATAATCATGGCACACAACACTAATCATGGCATACAAAAATAATCATGGCACACAACACTAATCATGGCATACAACAATAATCATGGCACACAACAATAATCATGGCACACAATAATAATCATGGCATACAGCAATAATCATGGAATCATGGCACACAACAATAATCATGGCACACAACAATAATCATGGCATACAACAATAATCATGGTATACACCCCATTATTGGTCTCGTTGTGTCGGCGTGCATGAAATTCAGCAGCACTTATATGATCTCTGTAGCAGTTTCCTCTGAAAGCGCAACGCTTAGGACGATTCAACATAATTCTCAGCCTGGCATGCTGAGCTTTAAGTGGACGAAGATGTTCAGTAATTTGATACTGGGTTCGCTTCATTGGATTTTAAAGTGAATGAACCAAATAATGAAATTGTTGAGAAAATATGCATAGTTAACACAAATAAGAAGCACTGCCATGGTTACATCACTTTAATGTCAGATAATCACCAGTTAATATTTAAACACCAGCATCATATTAATCTCTAGTTGAGACCACAGTAACGTACACGTCAGTAACAATTAACTATGCAATGAACAGTTAATGCTAAATTGAAACTATGACAGGTGGAGTGAGTGGACCTCCGACACTGGCCACAGACACATGAATAATGGCCGGCAAAGAGATCCGGACTTCGCTATCTGCTATTCTAGCGGTTGCTACCAAAACTGAAATCTTGAATTATTTATTTTATCTTAAAAGGTAATGAACTGCGGCTACCATATTTCAACAATATCCAATAATATCTTAAAACCCGTGAATTAGTCGGTGCTGCCGCCTGCCGGTGAAAAATTCACCACGACTTCTGCCAGCGTAAGCACCTGCGACGGCAGATAAAAAGCTTCCAGCCACGACGCTGGAGTGTCATTTGGGTGTTGAGGCGCTCAGTGAAGCAACCATTACAGGTGAGCATAGCAAGATTAATTAATGAAATTTGATTATATTATACAGGTGAGAATATTGAGTCAATTAGGTCCCGGTTTAGATGGTCAGGGTATTTACAAAGCATGTTGGAATGTAATGCGCATGTTATTAATCAGGCAACAGATTTTTTTCAAAACTTTTCATGGTCATCTTTCCTTAATGATGCATTCTATGGGCATATCTTAGAATTTGCAATTACTGTGATTGTGCATGCAATAAAAAAACATTGCAAAGTGCGGCGAAGACGATGTAAATCCCCGATACCTAAAACTCACAGTAATAGAAATATAAATGTGATACGGCCCATTATCGATGTGAATTTGCAGAGATAGCTTCCTTGCATCAATAAATGTTTGTCAACCATGTTAACACGAGACTTCATGTACTACAATATTAATAATCATTCTCTATTTATGGGATGTTTGGATAATGTTAGCGAATAATCTAAATTTAAATAATGTCAAACCAAACCAATCTATATTTAAATAAACCAACCCAGATTTCAACTCGCACTTTTCTTCTTCGCAGGAATTTCGGCATCAAGAAGAACCAAAGCCAGGCGAGCGTCGGAGCCGCCGTCATGAAGTCCGTTATATTTGGTCTTTTGATCTGCCTCGTCGCCGCGCGAGTGCCGACGAATCAACGCTACGCAAGTCGGGTAAAGTTATTCGTTGATTTTAATTAAAATATTATATTCTATTTATTGTAAAACTAAAATATTTACGCTAAAAGAACATAAGTTAGGTTCTCGTCGGTGTGCAAGGCTATTTTGTGTGACGTCGCCTTGCCGATGCCCTAATATTCGTTGATTGAATCAAAATACTATATTGTTTTGGACGTAAAACTAAAATTGTAATGTTGAACAAATTATTATTCAGTGTATACTGATTAAAATTTTGAAAAAAATTCTCAATATTATGTACCACGTCGTTCAAATTATACAGAAATTCTAGGGTTTTGAAATATTGTGTAAATATTTTAGAAACACAAGCGTTGATCGAAAATAACGTTACTATAAATGAAAGTGATTACAAATATTACCCGACAATTTTTTATGGTGATTTGTCACTGAAAAAATATGTTCATAATAAAATTAACGGAAAATGAATTTCCTTGACAGATTCAAGCGGAAAAAGAAAAAACTTGGAATATTGAGGGCAGAATTTCTGAATACAATAAAAATGTTCAAATGCCACGAGGGTAAGCAAAATCAAGTTAAGAATTTAATTTATGGAATCCAATTTTAAAATACTTAGTTCGCTATGGTTTTCGCTAAGCCCACCGAGGCCAAGTTTAAATAGACATTCTAGACTTTCTTGCTCGGCATGACAAAATTATTTGCATGCCATAACAGAATTAAGTGTCTATGATATGCCAGACTTATTTGCATANTGAGATAAAATCTATTAGATTTTATCATATTAGATATTCGTAATTATTAGATTAGATTGAATACGATACAGTATTATATTAGATATTGTAAGTTAAAGTTAACTAATAAGTAATTTGTTGAATTGCAATTTCTTCTAAAAAATAATCATACAATGGCAGTACCAAGTTTGAATAATGCATGCTTGATATCAGAAATATCATTTCTTTATACACATAAAATATTACTATATTAATTTCACAAATGTATTCCAAATCTCTGACAAGGTTATCAAGTGTTCATGTTTCGTTTCAACAGGGTAACATATCAGGACAGCACAACGCTATGCTTCACCTGTCAAATGGATTTCTCATTCAGCGTCGCCACTGGGTGCTTGGAGTGTGACAATGACCCACTCCAAACGCACTGCGGTGCGTGCAGAACTCCCACTTTAAACCTAACCTTCACAGTGGACTACAAACTTCAGTTTTGCTTGACATGTCCGAGTACCAGCCCTACCACTACCATCAACCCTACCCCTACCACCAGCCCTACCACCACAACCAGCCCTACCACCACTATCAACCCTACTTCTACCACCAGCCCTACCTCCACAACCAGCCCCACCACTACCACCACCCCTACCACCACAACCAGCCCTACTACCACCACCAACCCTACCTCCACCACCAGCCCTACCACCACAACCAGCCCTACTACCACCACCAACCCTACTCCTACCACCAGCCCTACCACCACAACCAGCCCCACCACTACCACCAGTCCTACCACAACCAGCCCTACTACCACCATCAACCCTACCTCCACAACCAGCCCTACCACCACAACCAGCCCTACTACCACCACCAACCCTACCTCCACCACCAGCCCTACCACCACAATCAACCCTACCTCCACCACCAGCCCTACCACCACTACCAACCCTACCCCTACCAGCAGCCCTACCACCACTATCGACCCTACTCCTACCACCAGCCCTACCACCACCACCAGCCCTACTACCACCACCAACCCTACCTCTACCACCAGCCCTACCACCACAACCAGCCCTACTACCACCACCAACCCTACCTCCACCACCAGCCCTACCACCACTATCAACCCTACCCCTACCAGCAGCCCTACCACCACTATCGACCCTACTCCTACCACCAGCCCTACCACCTCCACAAGCCCTACTACCACAACTAACCCTACCTCCACCACCAGCACAACCACCACCACAAGCCCTACCACCAACACCAGCCCTACCACAACAACAAGCCCTACCACTACCATCAACCCTACCCCTACCACCAGCCCTACCACCACAACCAGCCCTACCACCACCACCAACCCTACCTCCACCACCAGCCCTACCACCACTATCAACCCTACCCCTACCAGCAGCCCTACCACCACTATCGACCCTACTCCTACCACCAGCCCTACCACCTCCACAAGCCCTACTACCACAACTAACCCTACCTCCACCACCAGCACAACCACCACCACAAGCCCTACCACCAACACCAGCCCTACCACAACAACAAGCCCTACCACTACCATCAACCCTACCCCTACCACCAGCCCTACCACCACAACCAGCCCTACCACCACCACCAGCCCTACCACCACCACCAGCCCTACCACCACCACCAGCCCCGTCCATTGCGTCAAGCCTGACATCCTCAACGCATGTTTAACCATTAAGCCTGACATCCTCAACGCATGTTTAATCGTCAAGCCTGACATCCTTAACGCATGTTTAACCATTAAGCCTGACATCCTCACCCCATGCTTAATTACCTTCTGTAGAACGATTTAATTTTGTGTCCTCTTATTCGGACACTAATTTGCTTGAATACTTCAAAGAGCTTCGTGGTACATCAAAGAGCTTCATGGACAAACACACTACAAAGGAGATAGTAATTGGATTCAGATATCAGCAGGAAGGTTGAATTTGAAATATAAAATTGACTTAGAATAAAGAATGCAATAGAAGTGTCGGAACTGAAGAAATAAGTCCACGGCCTGTTCCCGATTCTTGTGCTTTTCGTGACTTGATTCACAAGGGATCCGGCCTTTGGAACCCGATATTTCCCTAACTGACAATTGATTGAGATGGCTGCTGGACTTATTGCTGGTCCGTAAGTTGCTAGGCATTTCAGGACTGAACATATGCTCCTGCATAGCTACTTCTAGTCTGTTCTTGAAGGCGTTCATACTCGGAGCGTCAACGATGCTATGAGGGAGACTCGGTGACTCGGCCATTCCACATGTCGGTGACTCGAAGCGAGAAGAAATGTTGTCGCATGGATGTGTTGCAACGCAGTTTTTTTTAGTTTATAGCCGTGGCCCCTGGTGTTGGTTCTTGTTTTAAATTCTAGTAATCCTTCTGGGACCTTGTATAAGCCATGAGTATACTTGTATACTTCAATGAGGTCCCCACGCAGACGTCGATAACTGAGGCTTGGAAGCTTGATAATATTTAACCTTTCTGCATAAGGCTTGCTTTTAAATCCCGGAATTATCCTCATTACTTGCTCTAAATTACTTGCTTGCACGCGCGCTTTATTTAAACAATATTTTATGCTTCTTTCTGATTGAACGCACGAATAGAATTGTTCGTTCCTGCTTTTCAAACGAGTTTTGTTTCAACGTTGAGTTTCACTCAATAGTGCACTTATAACCTAGCTACTGTATACAAAATTCCATGCAAATTATAATTGGATCGTAGAACTAATCATAATGGATTGTAGTAACAGCAAAAAATTAATCGAAGAGGAGATATTTAAGACGAATATTACCTAGAATGATCTAGGAAATTTGCTTCGTAATCTTTTCTAGAATTTAGGTGATGACGGGATTATTGGTAAAAATTATTATGTCTGTGATGGAAGAGGCAGCAATGGGGGCTTGTTACGTTAAATACGTTAAATGTTAGAGTTCAATGATTCTCAAAAATGTTAATGAAACCCATTTTTATCCTATTATCATTATAGTATCCCATCCTTTTTTCTGAAAAGTTTTAAATTCCTCAGTGAACAATTGGAGAGTTATTATCTCTGTATTTGTTACCCTGAGAATATATCAATTTTGCACCATTACATCATTTTATTTGGGCAAAAATTGCCCTTCCTAAGCAAACCCAAATATGGGGAGCATCTGGGTCTGAAATCGAGAATATCGGCTTTTCCTGCCATGTTCATCTTAAAGCTGCAATTTTGAATTATCCAACGGTACCAAAATCATCTCTGTACGGTGATTTATGCGTTCACGACCGATCGCGAAAGAGTTAGGTTGTGTCGATGCTAGAACAATTATTGTCTACGGGGGAAATTATACCGGCCAGGCAAATATAAGCGAGCTCTCTCGGCGTAGGGCTTAAGTTGCACCTGAGAAGGAGAAGTGCTCATGCATGCGGAGAAGTGCTCATGCAGTCGTTCTCTGCATCGCTGACTGGCATCGCTGACTGATTTGAAAAAAAAAATTTTGAGGATGGGATTACAATTTTTGAAATTCGTTATAGTTTTGAAAATACTACTGAAAAAGGGAGAATGGGGTGGTGGAATCGAAAATTTTACGAAAAATGTCCCCCACTCACAGAAATGAGAATTTCGAAAAATGCTACGACCAATCGATAGATATGGTCTTTACGCATCGGATGATATGGGCATCGATGTTGCAGCCTGAAAATCCTAGAAAGAGATCGATTTCTACAGTACCCTCTTTTTGGCAGTTTTCTAAGATTTTCACCTTTTCTTCCATATTTTTCGAAAAATGTACACGAACAAAAAAATCTTAGATTTTTTTAGGCGTGTGTTTTTCAAAGAGATCCATCCGTAAATAAAAAGGTTTTTCTGGGACCCAGACGCTCCCATAAGGCAATTTATCAGGGATCTGAGAAAATTTTTATACGATTCGAGAATCAACCTTATTTACCGTCATCTCGCACGGTGTACCTTTTGCAGTCTAGGGGACGTACTATCAAAATCCTCTGAACTAATCTTAGCGGCCTAATTACATGTAGCGGCGGCTTTATTGTCTGTTATTGTGTAATTTGAAGAATCGGCAATGGTTTGTTTAATGAGCTAAAAATTAAGTAAAACCTGAACGCGAGTATTTCTGCGTTTGAAACCTCAAACGCCCTCACTCAGGTTTGCCGTCAGCTTCACATATTTACAGCACAGTGTAAATGTACCAAAAAAGGCCCAGGCTTCCACTCTCACCACCCACAGCAGCATTACAGCTCCTAATAGAGTTTTTCAACAGCAAAGACTTCCGCAACATTCACCGGCAGACATGCAGTACCAATAATTTTAATTAATGACCCCCCCTCAGATCATATCCCAACCTTATAGGCGCATTCTTTGCTAATTCAACTCAGATTTTAATTCAACCATATAGATTATATAATGTAAATAAAACTGAATGAGATTTAAAGCCGGCTAGACTATAATAATTCTTTATAACAATAAAGAAATTCTCTATTAAAAAAAAAGTGTTGGAAAACAGAATATTTCCCACAGTGTGAGAAAGAGCAACAAACAATGGCACCAGGACAACACTAGGCTCTCAATGATGCCGCTAGAATAGGGGTGGTATGCGGTTATTCGAGAGTGATGAAAACCAAGCACGATAAAAGTTAAGTAAAAATGTTGGCTAAAACTCTGGATCCACTATCGGTCAACATGGAAATTGGGACATCATTTTGTGAGATCCAACCGCTGACGTAGGGACATCAAATCGTGAGATCCAACCGCTGACGTAGGGACATCGAATTGTGAGATCCAACCACTGACTTAGGGACATCAAATCGTGAGATCTAACCGCTGACTTAGGGACATTAAATCGTGAGATCCAACCGCCGACGTAGGGACATCAATCGAGAGATCCAACCGCTGACGTAGGCAAAAACAACCGAGGTAGGAATTGCGTCAATCAATAATATGACTTCGTTCCAACGGGTGACGATATTAGGTTTTCAGAGTAGAAGTAATATAAGAGCGTCAAGAAGTAATCAAGGTATCCTTAAGTTTAAGCCGCCAGGACGCGAAAAAGTGGGTAGTTCATCATATTACTGCGTCAGCTAAGGATCGCTGGCAAATGTTAACGACCTTCACAAAGAGGTCAGGAGCGTTAATTTAACTGACATAAACGAGGAGAGATAATGCGAGATATTTGTTCGGATGCACGTTTTTGCGCCTCCAGACTTTGTACATAATTCTGCCTGAACCTGAGGACAAGGACTTGCATGTTGACTAAGTTCGTAAGGGATACGCAAGTAAGACACCATTTGTCTAGAGAATTATCATGATATGGGGTGGTTATATGAAAGTGATATTATTGGAATAAGGCTAAAACATCTACCGTTAGGTCAAAGTAGCTCTAAAGTGAGTTACATTGCGGCGCACTTGTCAGTTACTAGGGCCTTACTAAGCTTCCCACCCTTTTATAGAATCATGGCTTCCGCCCACTACTGAGGTCTTGATCGCGTGATCTGTCATGTAATGTTGTCTATGCTGACGCAGGTCTAGTACTTCCCCATCAATCTTTACCACGTCTAGCAAATACTACGTCGCAAATGCAGTTTATCTAATCATAGAATATAATTATTATGAATAGAATGACACACCTGATTGACACAGGACATTTGCGTCATTTCAGACTCTGTTACTGCCGCTTCTCTTACGTGCATCATTCGGGTAACATAATAAAACATTTGAAATTAGAATCATGCAGGGTTGGCAGACAGATCTGGAGATGGGTTTTGGGTAGAAGCCAAATACAATAGTTTTGTGGTCAGTATATTGAGTCAAAAAAATTCAATGGGTGACGATATTAGGTTTTCAGAGTTGAAGTAATATAAGAGCGTCAAGAAGTAATCAAGGTATCCTTAAGTTTAAGCCGTCAGAAAGCGGAAAAGTGGGTAGTTCAGCATATTACTGCGTCAGCTAAGGATCACTGGCAAATGTTAACGACCTTCACTAAGAGGTCAGGAGCATTAACTTAACTGACATAAACGAGGAGAGATAATGCGAGATATTTGTTCGGAGGTACGTTTTTGCACCTCCAGACTTTGTACATAATTCTACATGAAACTGAGGACAAGGACTTGTTGACTAAGTTCGTAAGGGATACGCTAGTAAGACACCATCTGTCTAGAGAATTATCATGATATGGGGTGGTTATATGAAGGTTATATTATTGGAATAAGGCTAAAACATCTACCGTTAGGTCAGAGTAGCTCTAAGGGTACGTACACAGTGGAAGCAGGTTTGCCGGCGTGCTGGTTACCTGCTCAGGCTGGCGCCTGAAACCATAGAATACAGAAGCCTATTCGTACAGGTTTTCACTGTGAACACTTACATTATTATTATATGTTCATTCTTGTGGCAGGTTGGAGCAGGTTGCCCGCGCGAGCAAACCTGCTTTCACTGTGTACGTACCCTACCGTGAGTTACATTGCGGCGCACTTGGCAGTTACCGGGGCCTTGCAAAGGTAACTGCCCACCCTTTTATGGAATCATGGCTTCCGCGTTCCGCCCACTACTGAGGTCTTGATCGCGTGATCTGTCATGTAATGTTGTCTATGCTGACGCAGGTCTAGTACTTTCCCATCAATCTTTACCACGACGTCTAGTAAGTACTACGTCTCAAATGCAGTTTATCTAATCACAGAATATAATTATTATGAATAGATGACACACCTGATTGACACAGGACATATGCGTCAGACACTGTTCCTGCCGCTTCTCTTACATGCAACATTCTGGTAACATAATAAAACATTTGAAATTATAATCATGCAGGGTTGGCAGACAGATCTGGAGATGGCGTTTGAGTAGAAGCCAAATACAATAGTTTTGTGGTCAGTATATTGAGTCAAAAAAATTCTAAAAAAGTAAGTGCATTCTTATTGGCAAGTTGAAGTGAGTTTGCTGACAGACAGAATGAA